AGCATCCGACCCGGCGCGTGGCCAGAGAGACGGGCCTGGGGCTCCCAGCGGGTCCGTGCCGAGCAAGCGCCATTTCCGAGGTGCCGAAAGGCGCTTCTTCTCTCTGCAGGTCAAAGCCAGCCTGAGCGCGGGGCTTCCCTGGCAGTAGGCCTCGCTGCACGGTCCTGGGCGGTCGGGCAGCCCCCTCCCCTCCCCTCCCTTCCCCTCCCCTCCCCTCTTCACTCCTGCTTTGCTCTCAAACTAAGTTAACAGATGCTGCTTTTCTCTTGCTCTGAACTCCTGCAGATTAACCTAAAGATGTTCAAGTGCTAACCTGTTGTTATAAATTCTACTGTTGCAGAACTGAAATGATATTCCAGCTGAAGGTGGTGTTCTCTCACACCTTTTCTTTTTCTTCCCTTTACTGATCTCTGAACAGGACTATAACCTGTGGCTTTGTAATGAACCATCAGGCTTTCTCTCCCCAGTGGTGCTACTTCTTGCATGCTTATAAATTGTGAGATTTTGGGTTTAGACAGCGTTGTGTTCTGATCCTGCAAACCCATGCTAATGCCTTCCCCAGGGGCATTAATCCATTGGCTTTTCTAAGAAATTAGAGATCAGGGGAAGGAACAGGATCAAGCCAGGATTAGTATTATTGATTATCTCAAATTTAAAACTGTCTTTAAGGTAAGACTTGAGATTCTTATGGAAATAATCACATGAGTAATTGCTCTTAAAGCAGTGAAAAAGACTGGTGCTGATAAAAATGTTTGGTAACTGAAGGATAATAACCTTTTTTGAAATATTTCCCGGACATGCAACAGTATTGTGCTGTGTTTCCTTCTTTGGTAATTTATTGTGTCATGGCATACGAAATCACAGAAAGAACCCCCTAGGCAACTTGTTAGTCTCATCCTAGTGAGGAAAGGACCTCCTTCAAACCATGGTGAGGCCTAATGCAGAGAGCTTTCAGCATCAGTGTGCAAGCGTAGCACGTTCATGTTCAAGAGTCTCCAGCCAAATCATGGACCCAGCCCGAACTGTGAGTGAGAGGACAAGGAGGAGAGCAGCTTGATTGCCAAGCATTGTGACTGCCATTCATGTTGACACTCTTTATCAATGATCTGTGTCATTTGTATTAGGCTTTTCTCTTCCTAGCTAAGTGCTTATGGTTATGCACACATAGTCATTATCACCAGATGTTTGTGGGACATACTATGAAATATATCCCTGCACCTAATTCCCTTTTTTCTGTAAAACACTTTTCTCTGTTCTTTATTTTAAAAAAACCAAACACCTATATATCTCCTAACTTCAAAAATTAAACCTGTGCTAGTAAGGAATATAGAAGTGAGGATATTAATACAGGGCTTAATACTCTAGCTTTGAATAGACGATTTTATTTCAACTATGTACAAAGGGCACATACATTGATAAAAGATGGAGAACAATTTTCTATCAGAGCAAGATTCATCAGTACTTAACACTGGAGGGACTGTATTTAAGGAAAAAGCATCCTCAGCTGGCAGCTAGGCAGAGGCTTTTTTACTGCTGAAGAAAATCCAAAATAAAGGATCAAAATGCCCTGAGGTATTTCGCTTTCAGTAACACTGAAAGAAAAAAAAAAAAATCATTCCCTGAAAATGATCAAAAGGCTGAGACGGTTTCTCAAGCTGTTCTGGATTACGGTCTCACCCTGTAACAGTCCCTTTACACCCAGCCTTCCAGCTGCACTGCTCTCTCTTAAACCCCCTCATCGATTGCTCAGGCTGCAGCTGCTGGCCGGGACCTGCACCCAGCTGTTTTGCTGCTGCTTCCCCTCTTCTCCCTCTCCCCCACGTGCTCCCGTGAACCCACGAACAGGGCTCGGGTCTTCCTCCTTCAGCCCGAGAGGGAAAACGCAAACACATATCTCTTCTCCAGACCTCAGAGCGAGCAGAAACTGAACAGACCACGAGGCTGGCATGAGAGAGGGCCAAGTCAGAGGGGGATAAAAAATGTCTTTCCTCTGAACCTGCAGAATTTAGGGAAGAAAAAAAAAAATCAACCAAACCAGAGAGGCCCTGGTTGCATTACCTGTCTGAGACTGGCACCTAATACCAGGGACAGAGGAGAGTGACCAACGCTGCAGGAGAAGCAGAGAGCAAATCTGGGAAGGTATCTTTGTGTGATTTCCCTACTGCGATCCCTTCGGCCTTGAATGTTATCACAAAGAGGGAAAGGTATAGTTCAGTGGATGTGGTGCTTTTAATGCACCAACAGTTCCTTTCACAAATTCTCCATCAGTGTTGCACCCTTTATACCTTGAAGGGAACTGTGACACCTGCGTTGAGCTGTGCAACAGAGAAACTTCTCCTTCCTGTCTTACACAAAACCTGAGGACCAAAGTGCTTGCCTAGATTTAAGCTGCGTGGTACTGCTGAGGTTGCCTAAGGTATCGGGAAGCTTGTCCCAAGGACTGCAGGAAGTTCATTCCCTGGTGCTAGGTCACTTTTGTGTCTGGGAAAAGCTGGCTCAGGCTGGCTGCAGCAGTTCCTGCTGTCCGTGGGTTTCAGTTTGAGGCCACTTCATTTAGATTTGTGGTAGTGAGAAACCTGAGATCTATGCTGGGAAACGTGTTCAGCAGAGCCATGGGTAATAATTTGAACTAAAAATATTGCTAAAATTACCTGTTCATGCCATATGTGGTTTATGCTGAGCACACAATGGTGGATAAGGAACGGTGTAAACATTGTTTCACCACTTCTTAGTGATAAGTTGTAGAATTAATCAGTGGCTTTACCATTCATAAACAGCTATTAACATAAGCCATTTCACATTGAGTTTTATGGCACTTTTAGCCAGTAGCCAAGTGTGGGTAGTGCTTACATGTATGGAGCTTACATGTACTGGAGCTGATGAGAAAAATATGGGTTGATATGATGAAAAATCAGCGGGAAAGATAAGCATTTTTCATATTGCTTTACAATCTTGGTAAGCCTGTAACTGTTACTTAATAAAAATAATTCCTTTGTTTTAAGTGGAAGAAAAGAATCTTCACCTTTCACCTGTTTTTATTCTTGCCTGAAAGCGGAAACAAGTGGGGTTTTTCCACAAAATCATTCTTTTAAGTCAAAAAATGAAAACTTATGACCAAAATGATTGTTTCAAGCATTATTTCTAATGTCTTTATCAAAAGGACACTTGCCTTTGAAAAAATATTTTTTTTTGTTAAATGTTTCCAGGTAGATAGAACGTGCATACACTTATACCATCAGGCATGCACAATATTATACAGGAATAACCTCACTGGATCATGACAACTGTCCCAGGTTCTCTCTGTGAAAATGGCTTGAATATAAGGGAGGAAATACTGGACTATTTTATGTGGACAGACATGTACACATATAAAACAATACATTCATTAGTGTATATGCATCACTGTAAAAAAAAAGGTTTATTCTCATAAGTATGCATAGCTTTTCAGAACGTACACATTGTGTCATTTGTCATTACGTTCTCAAATGGCACCTGTAGAGAAAAGGTGGTTGCTCAATTCCTCTCACTGCCTCAACTGTAAGGAAACAAGACCACATGGTTTATCCATCAGAGGCCACGTATCCTATCAGTATAGTCACGTCTTCTTTTCGTTACCTTCCTCCCATCTTCTCTTTTTTCCTCAACTCAGTTGTTTCCCTGGAAAGAAACATTGCTGTTTCCCTGTATGTTCTAGCATAAGGAGCGCTAGCTTCAGAGCACACTGAGTTTCCAGTGATTTGTGACAAAGATCCCCCAGAACATGACAAATTGTGAAAATACACTAATGTCATTAGTTAAATAAAAGGAATTAAGTCAAAAGTATTTAAAGTTTCTGTGGTGGTAGTCACTGGGTTAATGGGAGGAGGAGACTTCATATTATCAATCTGTGACTTAAAGACAGCAGCCATGAGAGTCCTTTGTTGTTATGGCCATTCATGAAAAAATATATATGATTAATTTTTACTGACATTAATCAGGAAAAAAAACCTGCATCTGGGGGGTCAGGGCAGCAGGTGTTCCTTTTCCTGATGCCACTCTGGTTTGGGTTTTTTTTTTCCCCAGATGGGAAAGTACACCCTGGACTGCCTGTTCCTCATCCTGTGGAGGGGGCATTCAAAGCCGCAGTGTCTCATGTGTGGAAGAAGACATTCAGGGGCATATCAGCCCCGTGGAAGAATGGAAATGCATGTATACTCCAAAGATGCCTGTTGTCCAGCCTTGCAATATATTTGACTGCCCAAAGTGGCTTGCTCAGGAATGGTCTCCGGTAATCAATCAGCTTCGCTCTGTTGGTTTTATATTTACCTCACTAGGAATAAACCTTAAATTATAGTTTAGTGATCTTGTGGAAGTAGGGACATCCACTACTTCCTTTCCTTATTACCATGACTTCTGTTTTAAATGATATTATCTGTCTAACTGCAAGGTAAATACTCAGGAATAATGTATTAATAAGATTAATATGATTAAGGAGAATGACAGAAAAATAAATCAGATCTGTAATGTTAATTAGTGACCTTCTACTAATAATAGACTGGGAACATAAATGAAATGTGCAAAACAAAACCAGTAAGCATGTAATGGTATGTTTTCAGTACAACTTTTCCACCATAAATTGAATACCATGAATCACTGAGAAATTTCCAGAAATATGTAAAACCCTAAATGACTCTGCTCTCTGATGCTTGTAGTTGTTCCTGACTCACCTTTCCTTCTGTACGAAAGTAAATGTCTTTGAAACGTCTTTCTACAAACGTAGAAAGGTACTTTGATTTTGTACATAGAGTTAATCTTGAATGTAGTTTCTCACCACCCCAGTTTCTCAACAAGTAAAACAGGTTTTAGTAGCTAAGCTAGCTCAGCCATAGGTGAGGTGTTCTTGACTGATTGCAAAGTGTTTAGTGATTTCCAGATGAAAGCTGCTACCCAAGAGCAAAGTAATGTTGGTAGTATCCATAGCCCTCCCCACTGGCTGATAGTTTTGATCCTCTCCTGTGCAACCACTTATGAAACAATCTGTACGGGGGAAAAGTTGATGTACCTTACCAAAAATAAATGAAAAAAGACTTAAGAAAGTGTCTGAGGGAAGAAAGCCCAAATAGTTTCCCATTCTGTTTGGTGCCATGTTCAGGAATAGCTGAGTGTCACCTCTGTTAACCCATAAGCCCCAGTACTTTGTCCAAGCAAAGCAGAGTGGCTCCAGATGAAGTTGACAGGGTGTTACTGAGCATATCCAATATGGGATGGATGGCGACAAGCCAAGTAGCCCAACGCTGAGAGAGTGACACTGCAAGAGAAATCCAGCAGCAAAATGTCCAAACCAAGTAAATGTGCAGAGAAAAAAGGCAAAAATTGCTGTCAATTTTATACCTTATCCATAACTGCCAAATCTTATGAATAATTTATGTCCAGGGTTGGGTGTTTCTGCATCATCTTTTGATCTCTGATGTACACATACTTCTATTGCATATTCCCTTTTCATTTATCACCCCTGTGATGTATCACACACACCTTTTTTTTTCTTTTTTCCCCAGTGCACTGTGACCTGTGGACAAGGACTCAGATACCGTGTTGTCCTTTGCATTGATCACAGGGGGATGCACACAGGAGGCTGTACTCCTAAAACAAAGCCACATATAAAAGAAGAATGCATTGTACCCACTCCTTGCTACAAACCCAAAGGTAATGAGGCAGAAGGAGTCTCATAAATTTTTCAGAGCTCTTCCATGTTGAGCAGTTTTGTTTTGTTGCTGTTTCCACCTGTACTGAGTTGTGAATTTGCACTTTTAAGGCCTGCCATTCCTATTCCAGTCTGTCTGCTAGCAACTTGGAGTGAATGTTGGCCCCTTCCTCTGTCTTACAAGCTCTGGGGTTTTCAGTGTTCATTTGTGATCCGCCAGATCAAGCAATATAAGTGTATATTTGACCATAGTGTAAGCAGGCTTGATCACGCTGATTGTGTCTGGGCTAAATTTGCCCTGTATTTTAAAAGGAATTAAATATATTAAAAACTTTTGTGGTAGACAAATGTAACCATAATTTTAAAGTGCCTGTTCATAACTTGGCGCTCGAAACAGATCAGAAGCAAGTATTGTATACCCCAACATGAAGTTCCTCTTACTAGCAAGGCTGCAAAATTTGGAAGACTGTTGAACTTGAAGCATCTTACAGCAAGTAGTATTCACAATTTCAATAGCAATGTTTCCTGACGTGGATGCAGGCAGAGAATAACACTGGAGTAAATCCCCCACGTTTTGTTGAGAGAAGGAGAAAATATTTCTGCAGATGTTTGCAGGTTCTTGTGGGGTGGGAATGTTAGAAAAAGTTCTGGACACTGGATTGGATAAACAAGCAGTGGCCAGGTGCAGTAGACACAGATATTTCATCATTTCTACAGGTATATGAGCATGCATATGTTTGGGCATGTATACAGCTCTATTGATGCAACCTCTGTGTCTCTATGCCGACTAATTTACAGAAACTTCTGGGCTACAACAATGCAAGTGAACTTAATTTCCCTAAACTGGAGACTTAAACCTCACCATAAGATGAAATAAATTCCTTTTAAAAAATGAATTGCTATCCTGATACATATTAAAAACACTTATTATGAAGCCCTGTGAAATAAGAGTGACTCGTGACCTTGTGCTGGTCCAAGACGGAACGGTGAAATTTGGAATTTTACTTTCTGTACTCTGTGGCTGATGATGGGAGCACTTGCCAAGTTTCAAGATTCCAGTTTATCTGGATCATGAGAATTCACTGCATCTGCCAGCCACCAAATTGGCAAAACCCAGACACAGGGCCTCTGGGGAGCAATGGGTATGTTTGCACTGTACTTTTCTGGACAACATGAGCTCACACCATCCACCTTCCAAGATGAAAAAAAAAAGGCCTTGTGACTGTGTTAGCATGACTCTGAGCCTCATATGGAGATTCAGTGGGTTTGGGCTTGGTCAGTCAGTTTCTTTCATGGGGCTTTACCTGTTTATGTGTTCAGAACACAGGTGAAGCAAAATCCTGTCTGCCTTGACCATACAGTGTAAGCAAAATGCAGTAAGACACAAAAAAATTCAGGTCTTGCAAACAACCTACAACTGACTTCTGCCTAGGGAACCTGAGAAGGGTGCAAGATCAGCTAGGAAAGGTTTGCTTGCCTGCATCTATCAAGAAGTCTCTTCCAATGGGACTTCTCTGGGAACAAAGTAAATTGCTGTTCGCTGAAAGCCCATCCTTGCAACAGAGTGGCATCTCTATCCTGCATAAATTGGTATGCTGCCCTTTGCAGTACATATGTGATTAATTTCTGTTTTTTAATTCTCTTTTTTCCCACTGAATGGAAAGTCCTACACGAAGCATACTGTTTTGCTTAGGTTTAATTTTATTCCTCATCTTGGTTCTGCAGTGTTCTCAGTTCTCCCTCCGTAATGTAAGCGGTAATTTTTGAAGACCCATGTACCTGAAGGCTGAATCATGCTTTCAGAAGAATTGGTCCGGATGATCACCAGAGGTGTCTTCCAATACAAATTATTCTATTTATGTGCTGGTCGTTTGTCCTCTTTATCTCAAAAATATAGAGTTAGAAATTCAGTGTAGTACTGGTAGCAAAGTACCGCTCCTCTATTGAGTGTTTTAGCCTTAGCCTGGTTTTTCCAGGCTGGATTAACTTCAAGCAGAAAAACAATCTTCCTAGCTGACCAAAGCAGCAAGACAAAACATGTGGAATTCCCTCTTCTTTTAACCCACTGCACTAAACAGAAATAGAATGAAAATAGTTCATGTAATTTATTTTGGTTTAGTTTGTTCAAACAACGAGGCAGTTTATTTTATACCAATAATGAGAAAAAACAGGATATCCCTGGATTAAGTAATGATTTTAATTTTTAATAACAGGTGTATTAATGTAATACAACTTTCTGTATAATATAGGATTTAAGTGTTTTATTAACTGTTTAAAACAGTTAAAAACAGATTAACTGTTTTATAAAAGGAGAGATTTTGCTTTAATCTCCAAAGGTAAAAATTCCTCCTTAGCTTATGTTAGGAGTGTTTTTATTCAGTTTTGTCAAAGCACACTGTACAACATCCACACTTCTAATCTTCTATCTCATTTTACATTTTAAGTATAGATGATAATTAACTACACCTCTAAAAAAGAAAAGGTATTTAAAAAGTCACATAACAGGCAGCAGTACAGAAGAGCTTTTGCTTTTTACAAGCACTTGCATCCAAGCAAAAAAACACAGAAGTAAGATCTGGCTTTCTAAAACCCATAAAACAAGCTGCACAGCATATAAATAGAAATATCTCCTACATATTTGGAATAACAAATGTGGTAAAATATAGATTAAACTAAGAGCTGTGCTGGCAAATATTCATCCTTAAATGGCACTAATAAATATGTTAGAGTAAGAGCTTGGCAAGCTATTTCTAAGAGAGAGGCATAGTAACTCTATTACTCTTCCTTTTTTTCTCAGTTAGTAACTTGCTCCAAGGAAATTTGCTTGACAGAAGTTGCAGTAGCTGTGAGATCAAGTTGTAAGTTGTTGTTCCTCTGTGATACAACTGACAGATGGGAAATTTGTTGTGCATATGTGAAAGGTTCACTCTTGTGCACAACAGAGTCACAGAAATTTCCCGACTGTTCTGAATGACTTTAATCTGCTCCATTGGCAAGTACAAATCCATGCATTATAAACCTGAAAGGCTTAGGTGATTTCTGAGTGGCAAATAGGTCTGGCCCTGGTTCACCTCAGTGGTCTGAGTCTCACTCCCTTTCATTTGTTCCTGATCCTAGCCCAGAACATTTTGTTGAAATGCAGAGCTCCTTCTCAAATTATAGTGCCAAATTTGGTCTTGCTTTATACCCCTGAAGAGCTAAAACAGCTCCACTGCCTTCAGCTCAAATACTCCACTTTGACACCACATGAAAGTGAAGTTTGGCTCGCGAAGCGGCATGGCCCTGCGGTCCCCAGAGCAGAGCAGCTCGTTACACCATGCGCACAACCTGGAGGGGAAGAAAAGCAGCTCTACTGTTTTCCATCAGAAATGACAGAAAAAATATCAAGCTCGTTTTTTTATAATCCACATAGCTGATGAACTGATAAAGTTGAAAAGTATAGCTGGCCCATTTTATTATGGTTTGCCTGTTTTTCTGTGGTATCCCTCATCAAATCAGGGTTTTCTTGCTTTTTGTAATCTATCAAAAACAAGCTTAATGTGTCATCTGAAATTCTAAAATTTAAGGGTAAACACAGGGATTATATATGTTTTGCCTTTGCAATGTCAATGGAGGCCTGCTACACTTGCAAGACTCTCTCCAAAAATACTTTCCGAAGTGCCTACTTTTACAGCCCAACTGCATAGTCTGAAAAGTGACTTAATTTGCCTTTCTGGCTTTAGAATGCCATAGTCCTTCTAGCTGCAGCAGTGAACTATCTGGCCATATAAGCATTGTATGCATTATAGTCCAGGTAACGGAGGAGGTTTTTTCTCTCTCTCCTGCTCCCCTTTCTTTCTCTTCTTTGTGCTCAGCCGCCACATGGATGAAGACATGCGTGCGTCACAGGCATGCTCGGCGAGAGAGCGGAGGCTGGCATGCGTAGTAGCGTTACTGCATGCTTCCTATTTTCACTATATTTCCTATTTTATTTGTGTTCCATAGAGAAACTTCCCGTGGAAGCAAAGTTGCCATGGTATAAGCAGGCTCAAGAGCTGGAGGAAGGAGCAGTAGTGTCTGAAGAGCCATCGTAAGTCTTAAAAATTTGCTTACAACATGTTCTCATGATGTGGGGACCTGGGGCTTGCACTGAACTAACACAGTCTCTTGAAATTGTATTTGTCTTTCATTAGAGTGTAAAGGCTAAACCCAGCCCTGTGGAAATCAATGGGCTTAAGGCTGTGTATCACTTAGGTATGAAGAGACAGAATTCAAGAGGGCAAATGCAGATTTAACCTGAGCAAGTATATACATGTTTTATTTGAGGTAATTTCCCATAATATTATAGTGAGAGTCTGCCTACCTACACTGGTATATGTTCCCCACTACCACTGTATCTCTGCAGCTCAGCACCTTTATTTATTCTCACAGTGCCCCTATGAAGTAAGGGGTAAAATACAGTGATGATTTCCCCTCGCCTCTCCCGACGAAAAGATTGTAGTAGCAGCAAATAAAATGAATTAACTTCAGCAGAAAATAAACTAGAAACCTCAGCTCTGTGGTTTCGATTGCCTTGTCACCACTTACCTCAAAATTTCAGGGATTTTCCCCTCCCTGCTTTTCTAGCCACTTCATGGTCTTTGCCCAGCCACCTTTGCAAGATGGATCTCAGTCAGCACCTTGTAACCCGTCAGCAGCTCTTCCTCCTGCTGTAGACCTTCTTGGATGGCAGGTTGGCCTATGTACATACAGTACAGTCCCCTCTCATTAGAGCTGCCTGAAATGATGGAAACTGCATTTTCCTCCTAAATACATAAGATAAACTCATTATGTCCCATAACTGTAACTTTTTCTTTTTTCTTTTCCTATTTGTTTCTCTTCTCTTTTGTGAAAAAAAAAAATACCATTGAGTTAGAAAGAGGTGGAGGACATAAAATAGTTACATGTAATGCTGAAGGAAAAAATATTACAATAAAAAACTGGAAAAGAACACTTCCACTTAGGGTTGATACCTCCCTTTTTAATATATCAATAAGAAAATTTGACTATATGAATCTGACATGGTGTAACCAGATTCTTCACACAGTGCTATTGAAAATATAGTTTAGCAGTTTCTGCATGTGCTCCATTTCATTAATAACAGGAGTGCAGCAGAAGTTAGAAAAATTAAGTGGTTTAAAAAAAACCCTCAGAATTTCATTCATAATTAAATTATATTGTCATTTATGGACAATTAATCTTCCTTAGCCAGATAAAATTGCAATGAAAAGGAAGCTGCAGTAAAACTGGTGTACCATATAAACCTTTAGCAGTGAGGCTGGGAAATTACAAATACTGTTATGATTCTGTTTTTGAGTTTTTATTCTGGAACTGTGATAAATGCATGCTATAATAGTAATGTCTGTACACAGCTTTGATCAGTATCCAGTTCCTCATGGCCGAGCACGTGGCATTTTTTTATTGCAACTGCAGCTGTGTATTAGACTAAAAAACATTTGTTATGTAATATAATTGCATTTTTGGCATGGTTAATCTCAACCAAAGTCATTTGAAACTGGAACACTGGCATAGAGCTAGATACATATATAATAAAGCCCTCAAAATAAAAATTATTTTAATCCAGCTGCCATATGTATACACAAATACATACATATACACATATACATGAATATACACATTTATACACAAATGTGAATGGATATATCCATATATGTACATATATTAGCAGCAGCTATCACATGTAATATAATGAGATGTTTTACTATTTCCAGCATTTCATAGACTTTTTAGGTTGAGTCATTCAGCGTCAAAGTCTATAAAATTCAATATTTGTGAACGTACTCATTCATCATTTGTGAAGTGCAGTTTATTTTCTTGTGACTGTACTAAACAACTTAGCTAAATGTGTATTTATCAAACTGTAAACAACATCTGGAAGCATACATTAAAAAAGATATGTGATCAGGAAGTTCATCAAAAGGAATCATACTGATAGATGGTCATATCTGGAACAATTTGTTACACTAAGAAATTTTTAGATAAATTCTGTGAACAGTGTTGACAGTACTGTAGAAAAAGACTATAGTAATAGATATACGAGTATATGTAGCTTTAAATGTTAACAAGAAGGGGTTTGTAGAGAATAGGCATAACCTGCAGAGAAAGGTGAAGAGACTTTTGAATATCATGATGTGTATTTTAATAAAATATTCTGGAAAACTTTATGGGTCTGTTACTTGTGATATTAAAACAGACCTTGAGAGATACAAAGGGAAAGGAGTTTAAGAACTTTAAAATGTTTTAAGTGCAGCTATGACACCTCCTTACTCTATAGTTTCACTGTTCTGCTGTAATAAAGGCCTGTTCTGCAAAAACACCCTAATCTTCGAACCCCATCTCATGCAACACTTCGGTGATACCAGTGGGATACTAACATACCAATACAGTGGGGCACAGTCCAGACTAGGTCCATTCTCCCATGGGGTGACATTTTGTACGTTTTTTTCTCTCTGCAAAGCACAACTCTGGGAGGATGTGTAATCTTTATTTTAGGCCAATGAGAAATCAACATAATATTAAATTAAATTCAAATACAGATTTTTATATATGTTGACTAACAGCTAATATAAAGGGCACAAAGTCAGGGTCTTTATGTAAACTTTTCCAAAGCTTGGAGATATCCGTGCCTTGTGTTTAGTTTGGAATGATTTTTAGTGATAAGGCATGAGACAGAAAAACCAAATAAAAACTTAGAAAACTTGTGCTGAAAGGGCCATTCATGCAATCTCCATTTGTAAACTGTAACAGCCATCTGCATATTGTTCCAGAATATCTAATATGTTGACAACAACCTTGAGTGGTAAACTTCCACAAAAAATCGGTTTAGGTGCCTCACTATTAATAGTGCTTTTCCTTAATGTCTAACTTTAAACAGTTATTCATTTTAGGTCCTGGTTATTAGATTGAAAAACTGCATGTAATGACATAAAAAAGGAGACAAAAGATTCAGAACTCACCCAGATATAATCAGCAATCAACTTTGATACCAGTTTTATAGCATCACTTGTCCTCTTTCAGCTGTGTAGGGATTTCAAATACACCAACCTGTTGAAAAGCAACGTATACTTCATGGTAATGCACCTTTTGGCCTGTGTTTCTGCAGCTATGCAGAGACACAATGTCCATGGCCTACTATGCTGACAAATGTCGGGCAATCACCTGCATATTTTGGCTGATGAATGATCAGCCTGGAGTGTAGGTGCATGCTAATTTGAGGGTTGGAACAGCTGAGAGTTTTTTAATGTTGGATCAAGCACTAGCTGGTGTAAGCCAGAGTGTGATGTAGCCAGGTATTTTGCTGACTGTGAATTTGAGTAACTAGAACATGACCATCAATTTCTTACTGTCTTACACCTAAGTGAGTTGTAGTGTGTTATTTTGCTGTAAATTTTTTCAGAAAACATACCAGAGGTTGTAAAAAACAGTTTTAATTGCTTGCTTCCCCTCCTCTGAGGAACCCATTTCTTTTTTCTGATTCAGTAGAGCGGAGATGGCTGAGCAGGGTTTGAGGGTGGGAGTTGAGCTGGGCAGCCAGGATGGGCTTTCTTTGAGAGCCCACTGCTCCGCTCAGCAGGGAGGGAACGACGGCAGAGAAGAGGCAGTGTGGAGGGGAAGGGGAGTAGCTGTAGAGCCGGAGGAACAACAGAAGACCTCCAGTGGCATGGTGAGCCAGGTGCTGAAAAGGCAGCATTGTGTGTTCGTCAACGTGTTTGCTTGAAGTTGGAGTAATTGAAGTTTCTTCAGACAAGCTGTGCTTATGTGATTTTCCTATTCGCTCGCAATATTCACCAATTTCATGAATGTGCTTGGGCAGATGTCAGTAAGGACTCATACTTTTCCTACACTTCATCTGAGGCTGTTTACAAGCTCTCTAATGCCACCAAGTCACTGCCCCCATTCTCCTCTATGGACAGGGTTGTTCTTTGTAGCCAGCAGACCATTCTTCCCCTACCAGTGTCACCCTTTCTTACAATTCTTCAGGCAGAGAAAGCAAATCCCATCTGTAAGCAACTCTATTGTCCTTCTCAAAGTTTACTTTTGACTGGAAGTTTAAAATCTAAAGCTGAAAATTTTCAGCAGATTTCTTCTATGCATTGATTTCTCATATTTGTGAATCTCTGTATTGCTGTCTTGTGACTTCGGTGACTTTGAATACAGTTTTTGTTATGAAATTCCATACTATGACTTATAAATTTACACTTTTTTTTTTTTTACATTGTCTTTCCACCTGTAATTTGTGATCATTCTCTAACGTGTGCTGCTAGAGCAGCGGATGCCTCATTTTTATTCCATCTGTGTGTAGTGTCTTCAATTATTTATTTCTTCAGAAATTTCTAAAGGAAGCAAGCCTTGCAGTTTAATTTTGTCTGTATATGTCTCTCTGTCAGTTGCCTTCCTCTTCTCTCAGTAATGTCTGAATTCATACCTATTAACTGAACTTGACAGAGGTATAAAGTTATCACAGAGAATGTTACCCTTCTGTCAAATTTTGTTGATATTCACCAGCAAATTCAGTGGTAATGTTTTCCACACGTTTCACTGAATTAAATACTAGGTGGAAAACTGACACCCTACAATTCCCCAGTTGCAGGAGAGGTTTCTAAAGGAGTTCAGTCCTTAAGAGATACCAGAGAAACCACTTGGGCACTCAGCCTTCAAATAAATCCATGTTAAATCGGTCTTTATTAGTTCTGCTACTCAAAGAATTAATCATAACCAGTTCAGCAACTTGAAGGTTAGAGGGGATAGTTATGTTTGTGTTGTCTGACCGGCTACACCCTTAGATGGGGTCAATTAAATATTAATTGCTGACAGAACTACTATGAAATACTCTAGGTTGGTAAGAAAGTATTGTACTCTTTGTTAAGGCAAAGGTTTAAGGTGAGAAGTCCTGTGTTGTTGTACATACTGTTCTCCTACTGCTGTCCATCTCTGAAGTGGTGTTTTACCAGGTCTTAGAAGTATGTTATCTGAGGGAGAAGCCACAGCATCTTTCTGTCTGACCTCTTTCACTAGAGCTCATTACATCAG